CTCTTACGCTCGACCGAGGTTACTAGAAATCGGTGCAACGCGCGATTCAACCTGAAATATATGAACAAAAATGTGAAATGAACAAAATGTATGTAACACTAATAGGTATAGAATTTCTGTCGCTTTTTGTATAAACGTATAGCAGTTGAATGAGCAAAGACAATAGTATTTATTTCCGTTATATTAGTGCTTATAAAAAAAAGTTTTAACATTTGTATAAAATCATAAATTTTTTACAAATTTTTCTTAAGTTTCTAGTTGTTTCTAATTACTTTGTTTTTAGATACTCTTTCGATTATAAAGTAAAATATGAAATAAGACAAAGATCTAATTACAAAAATATATTTTTTATAAATATTTATTTCTTCAGTCAAAATTATTAACATGAGACGTTATATCATAAAATAGAAAAAAAAAGAGAAATAAAAAGAAGAAGATATGTTCTTCCAAATGTAGAAATTATTACTCTCTTTATTTGCTGATTAGAATAATATAAATCTTTTTCATTTTGCTGCATATTAAAATAAATCCGCGTCAATTATTTGCTCGTTAAGTCACGATACAAAATTCATTCGTATTCGAACTTTGTTAATAAACGATTCTGTTCGAACGTAGATTGAAACGCGTTTATCGCATCTTTTCCACATCTTCCTATTTCAGCTAGCGGTCGTCGCACGATCGTTATTTCCGAACCTGCCTGCTGCGTTCCTCGCGTAATTAGCGAGGCCACGTGCGAGCAAAACTTGGCCCATAAATTTCGGAGAATGGAAATGGTGTCACGTCCGATCTCTCTCGCGATCTTTCCATCTTTCTCTCGGCGTTCTATCCCCGCCCTCCCGACGCATTAAACGTTATTCTCCTTTCCAGAATGTCTCTTTCGCGTTCTGCGGCCACGGAGAAATCAGGAGACGCTACCCACGCTGATCACGTACCGCGCGCTGAGGCCAATCTGTTCTCCCTTGCCGTCACGTTTGACAGTTTATGTCATTCGCGTTGCGCCCGTCTATATTCGATCTACCTTTCCAACTTTGGTAAGATGTCAATCATGTTTCAGCCCACAGGTTTCGTCGCCAGAATTCGAATTTTCGGGCGCTTTATGATTGTATCCGCCATCGAATCACGACGTTTCGGTGAATTATGAGGTTCTTGAAGAAAGATAAGATTAGATTATTTGTTATCTGAGTCATGAAATTGTTGAAATTTAATTTATTTTATATATATATATATATATATATATTTATTTATATTTAATTTATTTATTAAGTTTTGTCTCCAATAAATTTCATATTCTACCCTTTCGATTTATTCGGTTTGAACTTTAAAAAATTATACGCAACAAAAATATTTATATATTTTGTTAATTTGATATATTTTCTAAATGTTTTTACAAACCTTTTATTTGTTTATTTAGAGTAATGGCTAATATTTTGTAATTTATTGTATTATTGACCCTTTGGAAAGAGAGAAAAATTATTTAATTATCAACTTTTTATAATCCAACAGTTTTATTAGTTCTGCAGATAGCTTTATCATTTTTGATTAAAAAATTAAAACGTTTGATTAAATATATAATATTTTATTAATGTGGTATTTGTTTAATTCAAAGATTTGTATGAATTTTCAATTACACATATATATAATTGTCAATATGAAATTATTTGTATATTAAAAAAATACTACTAACAATTATACTAAAAAATATTATTCGACATTTTGAAAAAACATTAACAAAAATATTTATAATGTATTTGGTAGAAGATTACTATAAGATTTTAATCGTTGAACGCCTCATAAGTATAGTTGAATCAGTAACGTGAGATAAATACAAGTTTGATCATGTTTTCACGTTTCTCTCATCAAATTCTCATTCGTGCATATGTCGAAATATTTGCGTTACCAGTTCGTCAGGCAGAGAGATACCATCCCGTTTCTCCCATGCGCGCTTGTAAAAGTGGCGGGCGTACGATCCGGTCGGTTTAGATCTGTTTCAGGTTCACAGGCTGGCTTCAAAAATGACTCGCGTGCCTGTTAGAGGGCTTTCGAGCGAACGACAAACACGCGACTACATGCGACTACACGCGACACTCGGCCGCCGTGATTTTCAAACCGTTAACAGCCCGCCGTTGAATAGCGCCGATGTGAGCGCCAACAGATTAATGCTAATTTACTCGATATTTACGCTTCTCCTCGACACCGTGGCCGCGCAACATATTTCCATTGTTTTACTACATTGTGTCAATATTGAATAGCGCGGGGCGATAGACTATCGGGATATTTACTATAGCGTTGCCTACGCGTAGGCCTCGAAACACGAGCATGCCGTATGAAACTGACAGATTGTTTGATTATTAAACATAAAATTCGTAGCTAGACTTGAGTAAATATAAAAGAGTGTTACTCTTGATCCCCCGAAACATATCAGTCGATATTCGAATCGAGTGACTTTACGTTTACTGGCAAATGTCTTTTGTACTTTTAGCTGTGCTTGTATTCTCCACTGAATCACATTTTAATATTCCAATAAATCCATCCGCCAGTATTTGTACACATGAGATATTATTAAATCACTTGACCGCAACAATGTTTGTTAAATGGATTTAAACTGTGATATGTGAATTGAGAGGGCATAATATTATTTTTGAGAAATTCCTAAATTCACATCCCCAAGGAAATCAGAACCACCAGAGACACAACAAAATGTTATAACGAAGGTATATCAACATAAATCTAAATTCGGGGCATAATTCAATAAAGAGATAGAGAAAGAAAGAGAGAAGAAGAAAGAAAAAGAAAGATAGAGAGAAAGAAACACGATGTTAAATTCATGTAGAAAAATGAAATGGAATATAGATATAAGAATCTCCAGAGAATGAAGCTGATTCGTATCTTTTATATAAACCAAAAATCTGTCTTTCCCAAAAAATTCCAATATAGGTTAAAAAGAAAAGAATGTAATTAAACAATAAATATTATATACAAATAATATATTAATTAATTGTAAGAAAAAATCGATGTGTAATCAAAATGATTGAAAACTTTTTATCTTTCGGGTTGGAAATATAAAGAATGGAAATGGAGTCCACGGTTTGTTTTCTCAAGAGTTTAAGCAATCTGGAACATCCAGAATCGCTGACCCAGGTTTGTACAATTCCGTTCTGCTTAACTCAGAGCGGTCAGCCGTACAGTTGTCAATAGAAGTTCGAAAGCGCAAACTGATGATGATTGGATTGATATAAAAAGCAGAGAATTTGATTAAACTAGACAAGATTAAAGTAACATTTCGTTTATGCTCTATATATTCTAATCTCCATAATCTAAAAAAACGCAATGTATTATTATTCCATTATAATTATTAAACGTATATTTTACATATCATTATATGATGCTCTACCATCATATAATGTTCTGTTTAAATTATACATTCAAGTACCCCAAATCGCAAATTGTTCTGCTTTTTATAAGCAACATTGCTTAGACAGGTTATCTTGAATTAAGTTTCATGCAACGAAGAGAACAATCCGCGATTCCTATTTGATTCAATGTGTTGTTCCTTTTTCCTATGTATACTCACAGTTGCTCAGTTTCCAGCGCGCTGTAAATTAATGATTCGCTTTTTCATAAACAGGAGATTTCCTTGTGTACTAGTGTGTCCTTCGTGGCCATTAATTCAGGGTTGATAATCTCTTACATCATTTCTCAAGCCGTCTCGGCTACGAAATGCCGCGGTGAATAGTTGCGTATATCGCGAGTACCTTTGTCGCGTGTCTCTGGAGATTTTTCTAGCTGGGGATGAAATGCGGCTCGCAATTAGATCCACCTAGCGCGGCATATTTGCGGAACTTGCGCGCAAGATACTTTCCATCCGCGCAATTTACATCTCTCCCCAGCCTGCTCTTTCCCCTTGAGAGTGCTTTCATAGAAATTATTATTCGTATTCATGCATTGTCAGTGTTTAGGTCATCGACACGGCGCACCGGTAAGAAGTGATTTATTTAGCAGGCGCGATAAATTCAGTATGTTCAGTATGGTTTCGCAAAAGTTTTGGCATTTTCATTTTTCTACGTTAATTCCGTGCATTCATGAGCCTCACCGGGATATATGATGCCGTCGCGTTGGCATCGACCAGAATTGCTATCGTCTGCCAACCCAATTATTCCATAATCAGTCAACCAATAAAGTTGAAGCTGTCTGGCCTGCACTGCACGTTTATTACAGATCATAAACATAATTTAATTACATCAGTAATCTCATTCAATGTTTGATCGATTAAGATGACTAATCTTTTATGTAAAACCTTAATTGATTTCCTGTGATAGAATGATAAATTATTTTTACTATAAATATAAGTAATACAAACATTTTAACTGTTACACCAAATATTTCAGAATTTTAGAAACATTTTATAAACAAATTTAAAATATTTTATAATTGAAATGTAAAAATTATGCGAAATAGATATGTCTAAATAGTGAATGAAATAAAAAAGTTTAAAAGTTAACAAAAATTGTTTTTAAAATTTTTTAAAATGTGCTATGTAAAAAATATATTATAACATTTTTAATTTAAATTTAAATAATTATATATTTATTAATTAGTTAACATTTTTATAGTAATTTTTTTATAGTAATGTTATAGTTTAAACATTTTTTATAGTAATTATATTATAAAAAACATATAATTATATCTTTATAAAGTAATATATATAATAATATTTCTATAAACAGTAAATTTTTTAAAATTTTACAAAGAAATATTTTGAAATGTTAACAAAAATTGCTTTCTTCTACTAGCAGAATAAATTTTGTTTAAGCGTTTGTTTAGCATACGAGTGTTGCTATTTTAATGAAGAAAAATCTCACGTCGCATGATCTTTCAGATAGCATCATAACCTGATATCAGACCAACTAGTTTAATCTGTTTTAGGGCGATATATCATTGCTAACGCTTATTCCACAGTCTGTCAGTTCTTTCGGTGTAAAAGAACAATGCTGAGATTTATATGGAAATTTGCCGTTCCTCTTATATTTCATGTATTTTAGTTGGAGATCTCTGGGGTAAAAAAATGTACCTATACAGCATATGTCGTCTCTTCAAGCTCGGCTCGCGAGCATTTTTATCTGCCATTCGATTTGCATTGTAGATTTAACCGGAAAAAGCACATAGAGATTTTTTAGATAGAACTTTAGTTACGTAATGTAACATCAACATCAAGATTATGAGGTTGTGATAAAATATCGGTTTCGCATTAACAATTTTCACGTTAATTTCAGGGAGCTTTAAATTTGACGAATCTTTGTAAAGATCATTGTTTGTGATTCAATAAAACAGAGAATGAAATAAAATCTGTTAAGAATATTGTATTATTTTATGCGCGATAAATGTCAAGCTGTAATTAATCAAACTGCTCCAAATTAAGTCGCTTCAACACGAAATCTCACGTAGCGCGTGTAAGCATAGTAGAATTTCGCGGTGGATCTATAGCTGCAAAGGCAGAGCTTCACCAACGCTGCTTGGTGGTTGGTTAAGTAACGAGCGGTGCATATTTAGCCGTGGCTTCTCTGCAGAGACATGCAAATGTACAGCGATGGCTCCTCTCGGTTGGTTGCCTCTATACTACGTGAAATATACTCCGCTTCATGCTTAATCAAGATTTCGCCGGCCATTATACTCCGGAGAACCATTCTTCATAAAGTTTTGCATTTTGACAAATCTGCGATGTGTAAAGAGAGCATAATATTTTTACATAAATTTTTCACTTTGATTTCTTACTGTTTACAGTAATTAAATATGTTGTATACATAATGTACCAATTTATGCATTTACTTAAATTGCATGTAGCTTATTATTGTAATATTTTTAATTTAATTATTCTATAAACAATAGAGCAATATTTAAACAATATAGATCACATATCAACAAGTGTTATGTAAGATAAATTAAATAATTATTTGTTTTAATTTAGTATTTTCACTTTAATAAAATCTTTTTAGACTTTTTATTAAAAAATGGATTTTATGATTAATTACGAGTCAATTATTATATTATATTATTATACTATAATTTTTATTTTTAAACTTATGACTATTATATAAATATAAATTAATAAAAAATTAAGAAAATAAAAAATTTTTAGGAAGTTAATTTTTAAAGAAGTTATTATTATACGTTTATGCAAAAACGTATATATACATACATAATTTTTTATGTATACAATAGTCTGCGTGATATGAAGTTTTATTGTTCTTTACAAATGGGATGTTCGCAACAATCTGGATACTCCTTTGTGTTGTCTCCATTGTCATATCCTGTCTGTGTTCCAGGAGCACATTGAAACAAGGCGCATCTAAAATTTAAAGAAAATTAATTTCTAATTTAAAGTAACAAACTTTGCGTAACTTACGCCGTAAGTCTTAATTCTGTTCCTTCTGAGAAACATGATACTTTACAGCATTCGCACTGATCCGAGATCATAATATGATTTGGACAATTTTCTACAAATATAAAAAATATAATTATGTTAAATTAGTATTCCATGTAATTTAGAATATTACGGAACAGGAGTCAACAAAAGTATTGCAATATTCCTTTAAAGAAATATTTACGTTATATAATATTCTATTTTATAAAGAAGAGTTTGTTGACAATTTAAATTTAATAAATTATAAGTAATTTAATTAATAGTATATTAAGTATATTTTTTTAAGAAAAAGATAAAAATTTAATGATATTTAACAATGATATTTAATATAATTAATTGCATTATACGTACAGATATAATATACGATTTTACATTGAAATTACATACAATTACATAATTTTTTCAAAATAATCTTTCATTCAAAACCATATTATTTTAAATAATGAAGATAAATATAAAATACATAACGTGTATTTTGTGAATATATAATGACTACATACCATATTTTGGAATTTGTGTACTGAAGTGAATCAAGATAACAAGTATAAATAATAATCCGAAACGTTTCATCTTGCTGGATTACGTTAAATGAGATGAGTAAACGAGAGCATCCTCGCATATATATATATATTTATGATTATGAACTTTGATCTTTCTGAAGAGATTAGATAACAAGAAAGATTCTATTAAAATTGAATCATATAAATATAATTTTTACAGACGATTTAATATTTACTCAATATATACTCAATATATGTATATCAACACAAGATAACAAATGTTTATATATATGTTTATATAATCTGTTTCTATTAATGATGTAATTATAAAAATATATGTAAAATTACGTAATGCATGTAAAAAATAAATAATGCATACTATTTTTATACTCTATGTTTATACTAGTTTTTCATACACTATTTTATCTTATAATATAAAAATTCTGTATTCTTAAAATATTATAAAAATAATTTGAAATTCAATAGTGTATGCATTATTTATTTTTTTACATGCATTACGTAATTTTACATATATTTTTATAATTACATCATTAATAGAAACAGATTATATACATTTTTAATAATATACCACTATTTGTAATCAACTTACGCAAGACTTATATGATAAATACATTTGCGTTGACTTTAGTAGTTGTTTAGTAGTTGTTAAAAGATAATGCCGATTTTTATTTCTATTATTACAGAGTCCAGAACAACATTATTTTTTTTTGCTTGGTTTTTATACTTGATGACTTAATGTGTAAGTTATATAACTCATCGTAAATTAAAAACAGATTTTATAATTAATATTTATAATTTGTGCACGTATCTTGACATTTCTTTATAAAAAAGAAGGTGATAATCGATTACTCGCATTTCTCGAAGTTTATTGTTGCCGCTTTTCCGCGATGCTAATTGATTCTTTTGCTACGCTAATTTCGTGAGTTACTGTCAATTTGCAAATGACAATTTGTAAAAGAGCGAAATTAGTAGCGAATGAAACTTTGAATCGGTTTTGAACAAGGATAAAGATAAGATGAACAAGGATGAATGAGTTTTTATTTTTCATTACGACAGTACGTCGCTACCATCAACGAATAATATAAAAATATATAATATGAAAGTATATGAAAAGTATGAAAAATATATAATATAAAAATATATAATATATAATATATAATATATAATATATAAAAGCTTAGTGGCGCGCGCTACGCGCGTGCCTGTTATGTTCTAGTATTTATAAAAAATTTAAAGACATGTATGAAAATTCTGATTCTGTAAGTATCATTATACGTGAGATATATGACTGTTGAATATTGACAAAAAAGTGATAAATGAATAGCACATAACAGCAATAACATATTTTTATGTTATTGACATCACATTTATGTCTAACGAAAAAATTACATGTACAGTTATAAACTCTATTCTATCTTTAAATATTTGTCAAAATACATGGTTGTCTAATAGCACAAAATAATGTGTATATGTTTAATATATGTGTATAATGATACAAAATAGATACTAAAATTCTTATTTTTTGCATTCTGCTTATAAATATAATACTAAAGTATTGTAAACACAAATATTATAAATACAAGCATTGTAAACAGTCGTAAATTATATTTTTAATTAAATTTTGATGTTGATAATAATAATATTGAAATGTGTATGTAATGTTATTGAAAAAAAGTAATAGCGGTATTTAGATTTAAATACGCTTTACGTCAAAATTTTTGCAATTTTGTGTTACTGTATTTTTAGCTTTTTCACATACATATATTTGTCGTAATTATTTTTATATATTTTTATTTTTTATAAATATTTAAATTAGCTAAAAATTTATTTTTTATAGGAGAAATTTTATGGCAATATATTTATATATATATATATATATATATATATA